ACGTGATCGGTCTCGCGATACTCGCGTCAACTTACTATTCAGGTGGCAGGCAAAGAACAATGACGCAAGAATTGAGGCTCTCGCGCAATTCCGCGACACTTTCGCGAGAACGAACGTCGAGAATCAAACCTGTTTCTAGAAGAGAAGCGGCAAATTGATTTGAAGGAAACGTATACAATAATTGATTTTAGTAATATTTGGGAATTTCTAGGAAGGTTCATTAGGAGAGATCAATAGAGGACTCTTGCATTAGAAGAGAAAATAACTCGACGAGTTGTTTATATCTAACATATAGAGGCTGCATCTGCGCGCTTTCTCTATTCGCTATTATCTCTTTCAAGATTGTCCATATATAGACAATATTAGAGACATAATATAAATAGCTAAAATAAATTAGCGCGTATATTCTCGCTGACCATTTATTTTGCTACGGTCGAAGGTAAAGTACGAGCGCTAAGAATACTCGGTGGTATCGAGAAGACGGAGTGTACTTGAATAATACGCGTTTCACACATAAGTGGTGCGCTAGGCGTGCGTGTGCGTATGCGTGCGTGTGTGTGTCGAGCGCAAAGCCGAGACTCTTTCGCAGTGACGCAGCCGGACTGGAGGACATCTTATTGGCCGGCTAACGTAAACACGCGTATATAAGCACACCCCTTGTCCCCTTACATCATAGAGTCGAGATATCTTTTCCGATCCTTCTCCCCCTTTCCCCCCTCCATCCCCCCTCCGTGCCCCGTAGTTCCAGTCCTCCCGCCCTCGCATCTAGCTTCACCCATTCACCGCCGCGCCGGTGCGCAGAGTCTCGCATCTCTTTCACCCCCCACTCCCATCGCGACCGCGCTCTTCTAACCCCCTCTTCCCCCTCTTCGCGAAGCCCGAGAACCTAGCGCGCAGCGAGGACCGCGAAGAGTATTCCACAGTGCGCGACTCAGAGTCGGCTCTCCTCCCTGTGTGCACTCTGCACAAACAACTTTGCTACACGCATGCGAGTTCCACTTTACGGCAGTGCTGCATGGAGAGAGAGAGAGAGAGAGGGGGGGGAGAGAGAGAGAGAGAGAGAGCTCATTTCGTACAATGACGATGATGACGAAGAGGATAAAAACGACGGTTATCGCGCGGCGTGTACCTCTCGATTGGCCTGACGGCTGAGGGGTGGTCCTGGTCCATCTTACTGATTTTACTGATCTTACTGATCTTACCGATCTTACGAGTCGAACCCGGACACGTCTGGACGCGCGACTTAGAAACGGGACTGGAGGGAGGAGTCTGTAAATCGCGCCCATATACAGCGCATATACAGCGCATCACGAAATATGTTAGCAAAGTTTCAAAGTCTCTCTTCTTCACAGTAGATATCTCTACCTCGAATTTACTCTTCGATAAAAATAAATGCCAAGTTATCGATGTTAAAAATACTTGGTATAAACAAGATATCGATCGACTTGAGGAAGTATCGAAGCGTTTCTGCCTACGCGCACCTATATAACCATTTAATGTTCTTTCGCGAGTGAATGCATTATGTACCCGACTGGTATTTATACCAGACCGGACCGATTAAAGAATTTAAGAGCTGATAATGAGGGAATAAAAAAAAAAAAAAAAAAAAAAAAAAAAAAAAC